TCATCATCATAACTTCGTTTCCTCTTTTCATTCTCAGTTCCCTCCGATGTGCCTGCATGGCTCCTTTTCATTCCTAAATATGAGTGCTCCCTCTTGGTTGGGGTCAACTTAGGTTCCTCCCAAAATGAGGCCGGTAGCTGGCGTTTCCTCATAGGCACCTGCTCCACAGAGCCCCCCAGTTGATCCACATCCTGCGCACCAGAGCTGGCCTTTTCTGCCACACTCTGATGGACAGACCCCATCGGTTTGGCGCACCTATACTCCGCAGACCTGTGTGTGTGGCATCTTGGGACTCTGGAGTATTTTTGAGAGAAACGCTTCAGTTGTTTCTGGAGATATTTCCGGTGATCCACGGAGCGCCTGCACGGAGCGGACTTATCTAGGGCCGCCTTGATGTCGCTGGATGCCAAATTTACAAAATTTAGTAAAGTTTTGACCTCACTGTCTGCATTTGCCATATTGTATCGAGGGTTTTGTTCAGTCCATGTTAAAATAAGCAATCCACCGTCAGGATCTAAAGAGAAATAAGAAACACACGAGTCACCCAATCAAGCCTCAAATGAGCGGGATGCTGAATATTAGAGATTAGTAACCTTTTACTCACCACTGCTGGATTCTCTCAGTCTAACCTCAGACTTCTCCCAGGCTGCAGTATAGGAGCACTTCAACAAGTTGAATGAATATAAACTCCTTGTAGTTATGGTGCTTCCCTTGAACCAATCAGCGACCCCAGGCCTCTTACAATGCACCCCAATCAGCCTCCAAGCGCCCTGGTATCAAATTCTTCACCATCGCAAATTGTTGTCATGGAGATCTGGAGGGGGAAAGCCGCTGAGGGGATGCAATATTTCTCCTACAAGATGATTTCTGCTCCGAAAATGGTAAATGTGCGTTTAAAAAAAGAGTGCGAATTCTTGTCGAGCATGCGTGCATTATAACCTGACATCAGAGCGGTTAAAGTTGAGTTTCTTACACATAAGCCCGTTATTCCCTCCCCAAGAGTGATGTCAGCTGTAGGATTTGGTGAGGGGTGGTGGGATCTGAAGAGTGCATAACCATGGAAAGGGTCTTGAAGGCTCAAGAATCTTGTCTTTCTGTTTGCCCCCTCAATCGAGCGACACAAAGGCTGAATTACTCATTCAAACCTCGCGGGACAAAGGGAAAGGAGCTGGATAGCACTCCTGCATTTGTAGTCAAACATTTAGAGACTTAAATCGAGTCGTCATGAAGGAGAAAGAGTCGGACAAAGCCCATAGAATTGCCATCAGCAAACATTTTCCTGTGTCATATTATGGGGTCTCCATGGCTCCCTCTGGCCCGCGGACAATAGCACAAGTTTGCACACTCGAATACTGTCACCCTGCCAACGGCAACAAGGGTCCAAAACAGGACAATCCCCAGAGAAAGCATGGGCTCGGCGGGGAAGGTTGCAATAGAGGAGGGAAATGGGACTTGTGAAATGCTAATTGAGCTTCATCCCCTTATTGAAGTGGAAAAAGAGTACCTATCGTTCCACTGAACCGCGGCAGCAGTGGAATGAGATGTGAGGGAACTGTTTGTCTGGTAACACCTCATGCTTCAAATCCTGACACAGTCCTATGCTGTGGAGCCAGAAGAGAATTTTTTTTAACTATCCGCAGTCTATATCGAGGCTACAGACCGTTTACTCGGTTAGCTGCGGGCCACATGATTAATTGCCTCATTCACTTAGTTTGGGGTTGTGTGAGGAGAGCCCTGCTGCAGGTCTATATGTGCATCGGCCGGTCTATCTTTTTAACGGCGCATCCCTCTTGTTCTGAAGAGGCAGTGGGACTCTATTGTCCTCGTCTCTTCTTCCTCCCTTCACCTCTCCGTTCAGCTGAAAAGGCCAATTAACAATGCGGTCCCCCCCTCCCCATGGCCTGTCACCCCACTCCTGTGCTTTTGAAGTGAGGAAGAATGAGAAAGAGAAAGAGGAAGCATAGTGGCATCCATAAATACTGGGTGGTGGCTGAATTTATTTATTTATTTATTATTTACAGAAGTTCTGAGTGGGAGGAAAACGAACCTCTTGGCACATTTTTGTTCACTTTATACAGTTTATACGGGTGCAAAAGGTGTGGCATCAGTGTGTCTGCTGTCCATCATAGAAAAACAGAAACAAAGAGGTCATTTTAACTCCTGCCAAAGATATACACCTAATTTGTATGTATTTGCTGCGCATGCAAACAAACCCAGAAAAAAACCTGCAGCCAAGACGTGTTATGTGCCTCTGTAACAAACTACAGAGCCATCATCATCTTTGCCATTTTTGCCTAAACCCAATAAGAAGAAGCCCAGAGCTCTAATACATCTGTAATCTTGCTACCTCCATTGTGGAAGCTGCCCATCCCACATCCATTAGTGAAACTTATGGTAAGTACCTTACCTCTTGTCTTTGCTCAAAAATAACTACAATAAGATGACACTGTTTGATCTGCAAGGGAGAAAAAAGTGTAAAAGCAGCACAAAGCAAAGATCAGGCACAGAGACGGGGAAATTAAAAATAAAACTGTACCCATATACAGCAGGATTTGCAAAATCATAAAGATTACATTTTTCTTTAACAGGGAATAGGAGTTACAGCTAAATGTAGAAGTACCAGTAGATACGGTCATTCATGTCCATGTGTGTGTCTAGAAATCTAGAAGCTTTTTCTTTATAAGATGTATCTATTTTCCCTTACTAAAGAGTTAGGAAAAAGCCACGTGCAGATGTAAAATAAGGAGTACACTGAAAAATACTGTCCAATAAGTCATCAACTGTATTCTGATATTCCTCAGAATGTATTTATCTTAAACATCATTACAGTGGTATTTGAGTTGTTTTATCACAGTACAGGCTAATTTAAATAACAAACCCAAGCTTAATATCTCCACCAGCTCCAATAATAATGTGTCAATAAGCAACATAACCTCTGTTTAAAGTCATGTGTTGCCAGGTTTTTCCACTAGATGGCAATCTACCTTCACTATGATGCAGCCCAGCATGAATACAGCACACATCTAACGTTATACCTGCACACTGATATAACACAAGGACAAGTAATACAAGAAAACTACGAAGAATACAAATAAAACCCGTTTAAGCTTATTTGATATAAACGTTTTCCTTCAATGACAGAGGGCTTGTGATTTTTGTCTTCTTATTTTTTCTTGTTCTGATAAAAAACATTATGTTGGGGTGCTCTTTGTTTAATACAGAGAGGCAGATTAAGTATCTTGGCAGGATGATAAGGCTGGAAGACCACAGTAATTACATAGAGAGGTTTTCTTATCTGAGTTTTAAAGGCTTATGATGTATGTTGTGGCAAATTGCTGCTTGTTGGAATGAGGTGAGGTAGCAGGAAGGAAACAGGAGGATGTAGTGCTTTTCTCTTGTCAGATAATCAATATTGGGACAGACTGTACGGGAGATGGATGGACTGAACTGCTAGGCAGACCATATGCCAAATACAGGCTTGTTTTATCCTCCAAAAACTCTGAAAAATCTCTGCACTGCACTGCATTTTCAAATACAGCCTGACAGCAGCTATGGATTTTCCACTCTAAAAGTAATTCACGGCCCTTTGCATGAGCTCACTTCTTTATTGCCCGTGAAGAGCTTTTTTCATAGGCACGACATGTGATAAATGCTCGGCTGCAACAACAAGGCTTTAAGGCTAGATGCTGAATCCACTGATCTTAATCCAAAGTTGTTTAAATACTCGGCTTAGATGTTATTTGGTATGAACAGGCTTTGACACAATTGGCTGTCACTTCTGTTATTTTAAACTGCAGGCAGTTCTCCCAAGCAAAAGACAAGTCACATGGGCGCCACGGTAGATTGGAGATTTATGAAACATAAATTAGCTATGAAAATCACACACAGGCCGGGAGGCAGGTTTGTGCACTGCACGAGCAAAGAAAGTGTCCTGCAAAATTGACACATCAGGTTCAAACATGTTCTTAGCGAGCTCTTAGCAAGACAGTAGTGGGCTTCAGAGGTGATTTTTAAAGAGTTGCAAAGATCTCTTGAGATTGCAAGAAGATGTGTGGGGATTATTCAAGTACTACAAAATGGTTTGTCACATAATGAGGTCTTTAAAATGTGAGACATACCTCCTTTAAACAGCTGAAAATCCTGAGGGGTGAGAGGTTTGACCAGGCTACAGTCATTACATCATCTTCCAGCTCTGAAACTCTGATCAAGTAGGTAATGCATCAGCACTAGAGAACCAGCTGATCAATAAATCATTTAATGTGGTTAAAAAATGTATTAGCTCTGGCTCCCTAGTGACACCAAGAAGAACACTTTGGATTTTAATCCTGTCCTGTCAATCAGCTGTTACAACAAGTGAATGTCACGTTGGCTTTCTAGTACCGACTGAGGGCTCTGAGGTAATTTCATAACTGTCCCTAGTGAAGACCACCAACAATATTATGCAACTGAGCTCTTAAAAACTACCCACTGCATAGTCTGATTCTCTGCACTCTGCCCCGCAGCATCACCTCTTATAAACGACATCAGTGTGGGTCAAAGGTGTTGTGATGACAGCAATAATAACAAGAAGAAACTAATGTTTTACAATAAGCCCATTCGTATTTTTGAAACTGTTATAATTGACCGGGTTGTTGAGCACTAGCAGTAAATGCCAGGTTACATCAGTATTGTTTATCTCAGCCTACTTTGGGACACTGGACCAGAGAGTGTTCTCGCAGGCACACAGCACATCAAACACGGGCATGGCAGTGTTTTCAGTCGGTAGGCGTCTTGCACTCTCTCTCCCTAGCTTTCCACTTGACTTTAATTTGCTCTAGTACGCGTCATCTTTACAGACTCGCCTCCACGCATTGTGGGCTATACTTTCTGCCTGGGCCATTATTATTATTATTTAAAAAAAAAAAAAAAAAAAAAAAGGAAAAAAATCAAACACAGACATAAACAAGCAAACAAAGCAAAACAAACAAAGCCCAGCTGACATTACCGACGCCTTCACAACCACATGCCCTTCCCTCTTTGATTTTTGGGGGGACTTTTTAAGAAGCGGAAGGCGAATTTGTTTGAGCACACGTTGTCAGGATGAGCTGATGTGAGCGCTGCATCAAGTGCGCGGTGGTGATGCTCCCGTATAAAACAGCCCGCCGTATTTTGGCACAGAGGAGGATGCATCACTTTAACCCTCGGCTCTGCCCTCCGGACTCGCCCATACAGTGCTCAGCTTAGATAAGTTGAGAGGGGATGTGTGATGCCATTGCAAGGAATCCTACCACTCGATATTCCCGAGGATCTCTCTCGGTTCGTTTTTTCCTTCAACTTCGATGGCTTGAGTGGTCCATTTGCGCTCATGCTTGCAGCCGAGGAGGGATGTAAGGTACGGGCATCTACCGCCCTCACATTGCACGGAGTAGCGGCGTGATTCAGGTCGCTATCTGAGTGCCAGAAAGCAAAAAACTACTTTCGAGATGTGAATTATCGAGATTTGCCACTCATTCCACCGGCTCGCCTGTCCTATGCTATCGACAACGGGATTTCAAGAGGAAAATGATTGTGGCATAAACTATTTCTGGAGACGCCTGTCACAGATATCGCCGCTGAACTGGATAGGGTGGATGGTTATTTCCCAAACAGTTCAAGCCTATGTATACTGCATTCATTTGTTGGAAACGCTGCCTAGTATCTTCGAGAACAGCGCAAGAGGAATGCTGTGCCAAGATCTAATGCCATTTACTTTAAGTTTTTGGCCTTTTTTCTTCGGTCATTGCCTTCTCTCACTGTTGTTACTCTCGTGCCAGGTAAGAATCACGTTCAGGCGCGCCACTTGACAATTTACGCATGAGAAGAGGTTACACTGATGTAACTTGAGTTTCATTTACTGATGGACTATGGATAAGAGCTGTGGAGCTAATAACCTTTTCCAAGTAACTTGTGTGCTCTTTAAGATGCATTGCCATATAACACCAGCTTACACTTGGTGGGATCACCGCTCCAGAGCACACCTGTGTTGAGGGAATGCTGGCAGGCAGGCGTGTGTAGTGAGTTTGCAGCAGGTCATAAGAAATGCAGCTATGCCCAGGTACACACAGAGGCACTCTGCTTTTTTGTTGTGAGAACACGGAGTAACCAACTGTGTTTATATGATAACAACATTCAGTTATCCCACCAGGATCCCTGCAGCAGGCATATGTTAGTGATGAGTATTCTAACCTCTGCCCCATGCTGCTGCCTACAGATAGTGGTGAGCAGTTGTTCACGCGCACGCAGTGTTGCCAGGGTTCATGTGTAATGTGATCTGCTTGAGTTTCCAAGTCCACCCACGCACACTCCTCGGGGCAGCCTGCTGCCCACTCTGTTGGTGGGTGGTTTCTTACAGGGAGCGGGCTGCAGCCATATATGTGATACTATTTTACATGTACTACATACACAGTAGCCCCAGTGACAACAACACTGGAGCTGCGATATGAAAAGAATGCTGAGAGGATATCCACAGTGCTACAAACTAAGAGGCTGCTGAGTATTCAAGCATCTCCATTTGTGCTGCACAGTGTTGTGCTGATGGTACTTCTGAGTAATGCACTAAGGGACACAGCCTCAGTCCTTTCAATCTCTCTTTCTCTCCCTCTGTCTCTTTTTTCTCTCACCATAAGGGAGAGCTCCAGAGGTCATGCTCACGGACTGTGGCGGAGAAAGTTAGTGAACAGTGCCAGCTGGCATGCCACTGTAGAAGATACCCTCCACTTCCACCGCCGCCGCCTCCACCGCCGCCCCCGCGGCTACTGGGCACCACAGGTAAGGCTTCCAGCTCACCCTCCAACCTTTCACAGCTGTCTCCCTTCAAGTCCGTCTCAGTCTGTTTGCTCTCAGCCCACAGTTGGATCTCATTCCTAGCCAGGCGCAGGTGTCGGTCAAGCGGCTAGTCTGAAGAAACTGTTTTGACGTGAAGTGTTTCCATTTATGTACACGGGGAAAATGCACCATCAACCAGTTGAGATTAACGTGTGAGTGCTCGTGCACGGGTGTCATTTTGCACTCTTGTGTTTGTGCGTGTGTTAGAGCCAGCAGGATGTTGACAGCTGAACACAAGACTAATATATACTGGGTCTGACCCTGGGGAGTACCCGGCTGCCTGTGAAATCTATGCCTGCTGGGCTGCCAAGCTCAGTGGTTCAGTGGTAGGGTTTCCCCCTGGAGAACCCCTGATTAAAAGACAGATGAGTTAATTAAATTAGCTATAATTTGTTAGAGATAAGAGGCTAATGATCCAGCCCAGTAGTTCCAGCTTTGTTTTGAAGTCGAGCTGGCGGCAGTGTGCGTGCGTGTTAGTGCTCATACACAACAAGCTTGGATATCTGTGTCGCTCCAGTGCCTGTTGTGGCAGCGCTCCCCTTCACCTTCCTCTTTCGTCTCCCTCTGAGGTGCTAAATCTATTGAGCAAAAGGCAAACATATTTAACAGGCCTGCTTGCTGAAAGTTGATATGATTTGTATTTCATCTCAGGCACCTTAATGAACAGTGCTGAAATATGGGGCAGGTGTTTTGCTGATGATGCAGCTATTACTGTGATTCTTTAGAATCACTCATCCTGAGCCCTTCGTATTACAAGGAGGGGGGGATACTTAATCACGAAGCAGTGGAAGGACGTTAATCAATCAGCTTCAATGTGTTCTTTTCCTGTCTGGTCAATGCAAATGGACCTCCTTTTTCCCCTGACTCACCATGTGAGTTACCTACAAATCGAGAGTTATAGACTCTTCTGTGATTGTTGTCAAGGTCACTGCATGAATCCTGCCACAACCATCTGACTGCAAGTGAAGGTGGGCCTTCGGCCAATACAAGCTCAGACCTCTGAGTGCTGCCTCCACAAGATCTGATCCCTCCAACAACAACCAAATTAAAAAAAACAGCAATATGTCATGTTAATAAGATAAGCGGATCAATCTTCATTTCTTTTTATCTTTGCACACATATGTTTGCAGTGGGTGGAGACACTATTAATATTTGATTCAAAGGGAGTTTTTTTTTTTGTCATCACATTTTTCATGCATAATTATCTAAATATTCCTTCAGCAGCCCAATTTGCAGAGCACTTTGAGCTGAAAATGTGCTTTAAACTGTCGTCTTTAAAATCCAATGAATATGCACAGCTAACATGAAAACTGGGACAATGGCCCGGACCACATCTATCAGATAAAAGTCTAATAAAACTGAGGAAAAATTGGCACAGTTAAAGAAGTATCTGCGTGCTAAAAATGGTATCTGAGGTCCCTTGATAGGACTGTGCTCTATCACAATAAAGTAGATCCTTACCACTGACTGAATTAAATCCTACAGCCGTTGACAAAACGAAGGATTAAAATGGAAGTTTGGCTGAGAGGGGCTTTTAAATTCACAGTGACTTATGATGTGGTGTGCTGTACCAGGGAGAGCCATACCTTTTTATTTGCTGTGTAGAAATGTGCTGTGTTGGAAAAATAGTCTTCAGCATTACTCAGGAGTATTTGTTGCTATGGTGTAAGCCGATTCGTCTCATTCATAACTAAAATCCTCTACATGCAGGAGGAGCTTGTTATTTTATGTAGCGAACAGGGTATTTTCTCCTTGAATGATAGGTAGACATGCTCATGACAAACCTGATTTAAAGACGGTGGGAGAGCACAGGATGCTGCAAAACAAGGCGAGAGAAATTCTGCAATACAGATACGAAGATGCTGATGCACACAATGTTATACAACATTCCTGGTGAGTGATCTTACTCCACGAATCTAATGTGGAAAGAGCAGGAGGTTCCTGCAACAGTAATTGGTGTGGACAAGAGTGCTGGTGTAGGGAAGGCTGACAGGACCTTAAATGATTCATGGTGTCGGGTTGGATATCTTTGAACGTTGCACCTAAGACCTAAAGAACGGGTGAGGACACGAATGCATCCCAGCACAAAAAGAGCAGAGGAGAGAAATCGTCTTGTTTCTCTTTCACTGTTGTGTTGTTTAAAAGTTAAGCCACTTACTAAGGATCAAAATGCAAAACACAAGTCAAGTTGTGGCTTAAGTGTAAATATAATTAATGCATTTTTCATAATGCGCTTACCTTTTTTAATGATGTGTTTTAATGTATTGTGTTTATTGTCTTCTTCTGTATCTACACCTCTCTCTCCTTGCTGCCCCTTTCACTCTGTTTCTAAGTGGAAAAGCCCAAGGTGCAATTGTGGAGGCCGTGGTGGATGGAGATGGACATCGTAGTTCTCGGAACGGTGGGCTGTGCCTCACTTATCTTCCTCCTCTCAGCTATCATCATCTGCTACAAAGCTATCAAGAGGTAAGAAGCCACCCTAACATGTTTAATTCTGTTTGTTTAACATTGTAATTAAAACCTCACATATTTCCAAATTATTTTAAAATAAGGACTAACTGAAGTAGAAGTCAGTCACAGATTGAGACAGGCGGGTAAATAGACATGTGGGGTTCTCTAATAAGTGTCCTGCCTTTTCGTTAGAGTTATGCCATTGCCCCCCTAGGTCATACTGAGGTCAGAGGTTAGGTGGGTTGTAAATATCCACTACATTGAGTCAAGCAGAAATATCCTATATGCTGAATTCATTTGCTGAAGTGCAAAATGACATAACAATGCTTTATTGATTTTAATTCCCATAAAAGTCTGAAGCATCCTAGAATGGCAGCTGGATTCATAAATGTGAAAGCAAGAGCCAAGCAAAGGAATCCCAACACACTGCTGTTGCAGCATTTTCCACATTTGGCTTATTAGAAAAAAAAAGAGTCTATGTGAGGTTTTACTCTGCGGCACAACCAGACCCAATTCTCTTGATGCCGTTCAGGCAGCACGGTATCACACGTGCACTCCGACGTTCCCTTAATGTTCGCAGATATTTCAAAAACAGTCACATCTGAATCGTGCCAGGTTTGTAAAGGATACTTGCATGCACCCATCCATAAACACACAATATCTTTACACGCACTCATTCATCATCTTGGCGTGTTTCACAGTCCACAACTAACCACGTGAGAACGCCATGTGTGCAGAATTAGGCATTAAATCAAGAAGCTACTTCTATGTTTTATGCATATGTATTTAAAAAGATCTAGTATCCTACCTCCTTATATTTATGGGACTATATTAAGCCTGCGTGCCAGATATGGCTTTCTTCAGCAGAACTCTATTTCGCCTTTCTTTAAACAACAAATAGGCAAAGTCAGGCAGCGGAAGTAATGGGCGGTTGGCTCAGGAATTCATTATGGCAATTCTCCAGCCCCCTGTGTAGCCAAGGGGCACCTTTTTTAATGCAGCAGTGGTAGGAAAGTGTTGTTGCAATATGGGCTCTAGCCCCAAACCCAAGTCATTATTTATGAATTAATTTGCGCAGTCATTCAGTCGCAGGCCACATCTTTTATACATGCAAGCAGGTCGTGTCCTGAAGCTCTGTGGGCTCTAGACTGCAGACTTTGTGCCACGCCAAGCTGCCCTCTACTCAGAATGAGAAGGGAATATACACAGGTCCAGACTAGGCTCATTAGACATTCATTAGTCAAAGCCAGTAGCAGAGCGGTCCAGGGAAAGATGTGACTGCTTTAGCATTTGTCTTGGATTCTCTAATCATCCATCGTTCCAGAGGGGAAAGGAGAGGAAACAACACAGCCAAAAAGGACAGATAAAGTGTTGTCTACCAAAGCAAGCAAAGGCAGTAATTCAGCATCTCAGTCAATAACAGTGTGAAAAAGGGTTTGTCAGTGAGAAAAACACAGCCCGGTTATATATAGCCCTCCCAGCTCAGTGCTCCGGGCTTTCCCAATGAAAATCAGCTGGACGAGGGCCAAGGCCCAAGCATTACAGACAGTGGAAGAGCGAGCACTGCAGGTCCCAGCCCTCCTGGCCTTTTGTTATTTTTTGTAATCTTTGCTTGCCAGTCATCTGTCAGAAGCAAGCGGGACTGAAAAGGAGAGAAAAAAGAACACTTCCACACAATCCTATTCAGAGTCCACAGCACCAGAGAGGCTGGTGTGCAAGCACAGAGAGGAGGATTCAGGCACACGCTGCTTTTCAGTGTTGCTGTACCATCCAAAGCAAAAGAGATGATACTGCAGTCCAGGCTGTCAGCCATCCAAGGCGCCAAAACAAATAAAACTCAGACCAACTGACTAATGAAGCTAGATGCTTTTCCCAATCACTTACCGCTCAGGGAGGCTTGTTCAAAGACGGATAATGCATCCCAGCTGGTCCTTTTCAAGGGTAACACAGAACATCCAAAATACTCAAAAAACCAAAACGGAAAATGCTACAATATTTGCTCACACATCATTAATCTCCCTTTGTTTTATTTTTGAAATCGCTAAACCGGCACTATCAAAACCGGTGACAGTCTTTTACAGTCTGTTTTGTAATGCGTTTGCTTTGAACCATACCATGTTACTCTAATTTCCAGATGGCTGGAGTAATTGTAAACAGCCCAACGCATGTCCTAATTTCACCATCATGCATTCCCCAAACTTCAAACAGCAATGTGCGCGCTGTGATTGCACAGCTTTGATATGAAATATTCATCTAACCTGTGAAGTGTTGTGTTGCCACCTGCCACGTGTCAACAGCATGGCATCTATTATTGAAGGCCCGGGCAGAGGTCGGCTTCAGGCCCCAGTGCTCTGCCCTGTGTGGTGGCCCAAAGCGACATGGTCAGTCAGTGCGGAGATTACATCCTGAGAAAAATAAACAGGCTTCCAGGAATCTGTAGCTCACCGGTGTCGAAATGCACAGAGATCCTATCTTGTTCAGTTACTTGCTAAATCTCATGTGGAATCATCGAGACATGCCAGACTTCTGTTAATTGCTTTTTCATCTGTTTTCAACACTATTCAGTTGTGACTCAGAATAAAACTCCTTTTTATCTTAAATTTAACTGGCTGCACCAAATATGATGAGGGACATTAAAAAAGTTCTGTGATTCCACCCATAAAGAGCAAAACACGTCACTGATTAAAATCATAGCAGCAGTCCGCTTTAGAGCCATCTCTGCTCTGGACTACTTCCAGTGCTAATTTTAAATGGCTCCTGTTCCGTCCACTTGCACATATGCATCTGCAATGCGTTCTGGATCTCCTCCACTGTGTGGAGCCTTTCAACTTCAACTGCATTTTGTGGAAGAGGACGAAGCAAGGCAGGTGGTGAGCGAACATTGTGTTGATGTGGCTAAAAGCTACAACGTGAGCGTAGAAGGTTCAAAGTTTCCCTGCAGTTTCTCAGAACATCACAGTACAGTCTCCACCTCCAGAGTCTGACCCTGGTGGATGAATTCATAGTGAAACTTTAAAACATGAGCACGCTACTCATGCGATGGCCCTCCTCCAAGGAGAGCACTGGTGGAGACTCAGTTCCCGTTACTACTGTTGATATTTAATGTGAAGGAGGAGGTTTGAGGTCTAAGCTGAAACAGGCTCATATATTAAACAGGTAAGAACAGAGCTTCCAGGAAGAGCACACACACACACACACACACACACACACACATGCGCACAAACTCACATAAATGAATGAAAACTGTTCATCATAAATTTGTGTTCAGTGTTTTTCCAAATGATACTTCAGTCAACCAGTGATAAGTGGACATCCCAGCCACAGTCACTGACTTATTAAAAGTACGATATAAAACTATCAGTCTGCTACAGAAGTAAGAGTAGGAATACCATCAGATATTCCTACATAAAAATGTGGCAACGTCCGTAGATAAGTGTGGACATTGTTTTATTGCACCGTCGTCAAAGCTGGTTTATCTTTTTGTTTTGTCATGTCTTACAGCAACATCCATATCACCCTTTGTTTATGTAGTTTCATCTGTTGCTGTAGGAACCAAAGGGAAAAACTCTTACTTTGTCGCAACACCCACAAGTCTGTTTAACTCTTATCATAGTTTTCTGTAACTGGACTCCAGAAATGTTTGAAGCTAATGTTGTTATAGAGTCTATGTTGGCTGGACTTTGGGAGATTCCTCCTCCATCCTCCCTGTGGGACAGATATAATTGTGTCTAGCATATTGTTTTGTGTGAGTAACTGTTGCTGTTTTTGTACATTCTCCCTCAGGCGACAGCAGTGATTAATAGATTAATACAGACCTGTAAAACTGGTATATCCCAAATCCCTTCCCTGCAGCAGTGGGGACCACCGCCCCCTCCCCACATCAGAGTGTTTCCACCCCGGGGCTGGACAGTTTCTTTTCTCAGGCTTTCCCCTGGTCTCACAGGGACACAGCAAGCAGCATCTGCTCTACATGGCCAGCATGTGTCCCAGTTGTGTTCACCCAAATGACCCCTCCCAGGTGACACTGGAGTCCCACAGGAAGTCTTAGTCATACTGTTGTGTTTTGTTTAAAAGTTTTTTTTCTGGAAAGTATAATGTTCGCACATAATGTTGATCAGCTTCTGCATGGCCCTCCAAAGTATCTACACAGAAATTCCCAATCACTTTTCAGGTATAAAAGCTTAGTTAAAAGTCAGTAAAATCTCCCTCCAACCTAAGTTAGTCTGACTCAATGAGGGCACTATATTAAAAGTTCTCTATAAAATACATGTTGTGAACTCACAAATTTTAAACTAGTGGAAGAGACACAGTATGATAAAGCCATCCTGTTAGAGTAGTTAAAAATGTGAGGTGAGGGATTCTCAAAGACTTTCATATTTACACCCTATTGTAGTTTTTGTTTCTTTGAATGGAAACCCTTTAAAATGTTTAAAGATCCTAGTCATAGTGACTTTGCAGATCAGAGTAACTTGTGTAAAAACTGGACGGAGTCATGCCGAGCAGGGCTAATGCCGGCGAGCACGGGAGGCAGATGGGTCGAGGTTAAGCTCTGCGCTGAAGTGACAGCTGAAAAACAGCCGAGACGGGAGCATTTTTCAAAATCTGACAGCGGCAAGACGGTTGTTTAACAGGTGTGGCAAAAATGTGATCGGTCAAAGTGCGTGGGAGCATCCCAAAGAGACAGCTGACAGACTGAGATGACAGCACAAGAATTATAAATATTGAGTGGTGCAAAAAAAAAAAAAAAAACCCTGGCAGATCATTTTTCATACTGACACCTCACCAAGAAAGAATGGTATAAATATTGCTAGTATTACAGAAAAATATCCTTAAGGCATATTGAAAGACTTGGTGTGATAATGATTCAGCAAAATCCTGTGCACGGAGGGAAAGAAATGCTATCAGGTGTATTAGACCTCCAAGTAATGTTAACTTTTTAATGAGATCTTGTCAGAGGTCTGGATTCATTACTGGTTGCGTTTTACGTCTCTGGATATGATAACACCATTAAAACCATATCTCAGTAATTTCCAATACACGATGCCATCAGTCTTAAGCAACGACGCGTTTTATTATTCATGAGTTCAACTTTCACACATTGTTGTTTTTAAAATGTTCCATAGTCCTTTTAAAAGTACCTTCTCCAGTTCTCAACAAGAAGCTAATCCTCACAAGTCACACTGAGTGCTTTCTTCTTGCAGAGCTTTTGTATTGGATTGCATTATGTCATGTATGAGCTCATTTCACCCTGCAAGGACTCCCTGTCTGCACGATTCATTCCCGGCACGATGCCCGAGAAAGGAAAAAGATTTGTGCTGGACCGGACTGAATGTTTGTTGAAGTTGTGCCGGCCAGCCCGGGCTTTCAGGGGCCAGGAGAGGAGAGGAGGGGAGATATTGAGCTTAAATGTAGCTCAAGGGTTCTCAGTGCTAGTGAAGGCACTGTACAGTGTTGAGTGGGACAATGACTGTACTAACTGTATTCAGATCTGTCTCCGAGTTACATAAACCCGGGCAGGGGAGGGCAGCTGAGGGGGTCGGTGCAGAAGCCACAGTACACTGGACAAATATAATAACCACAAAGGCATCAAGGAGCGCATTAAAAGAGCTACATTGAATGATCCTGCTCTTCACAGACCAGTAGCAGCAAGGGGATCATGTGCTGCTGTTTTCTTTTGCACTAGAGCAAAGATCGAGCATTACAGCGCAACCGGTTTTTAAGAAGGAATTTCCCAGGAGGTTGTGTATCGATGTCATTCCCAAGTTGTTTTGACAGCTACACATACTCATTACTTAGAAGAGAAGATTGCATCTCCCAGTCATAGTAGGTAATTGCCTTATGCCATGTGCTGCAATGTATCTTTTCCTTCTGTCTCCTTGCAAAATTGACCTTTAAACACTGAGCTTATTAGAAGGGATTGCTGAGAGCAGCATATCCACCCAGAGCAGCTTGAGAAATCAAATCAGTCTGTAGGTCAGCAGTCCACAAACTCTGTTTAATGGCATGGCCTTTAGCTATGGATGAATGTAGTGCCATTTTGCTTTGTTTGTTTTTTTGATCAAGGAATTCATCCTCACTTTGTAAAAATGTCTATTCACAGGAAACCACTCCGAAAAGAAGAGAACGGGACAAGTCGTGGGGAGTATGCCATGAGCATCCGTAACAAGAAGGCCATGGGTACAAACAACACTGTGGTATAGACTGTCCTGGTAAACATGAAGTGACATCACCATTGTCGCTCACCTTATCCTGACTACAACAGTTCCCTCTCACCTTGAATGAATGCGAGTGGGTTTCACCCCAGGTTTTCAGATTGGTAAAACTTCCCTCTTTGCCTGGCACGTTGCCCGGACTGAAGACACCATTCACCTCGAGAAAAGCTAAAAAGATCGACGGGGGGAAAAAAAAATCAAGACAGAAAGGACACAGAGAAAGATCCACAACCCCCCATGGTGTCGAAAGTGGCACAGCAAGCTGAACATTATGCTCTTAGTAACAGCAAGTGTTGCTGACAGGCTGGTTGGCTGCCGGCTGGAGAGGGACTGTCTGCCAGTCTGCTGCAGATCCAGACCTCACGCACTGTTGACATCTGCAATGGAACAACAGACAATACAGCAGCCCTGCAGTCCCACGGGCAGCCAGACAAGACAGCCCATCACAGACAACAAATAACATGCATGCAGTTTTTACAGAGAATGCAACATTTTTTTATATTCCAACCCTCGCACTGTCCATTTTTTTTCCCTCCATTTTTGAGACAGATGCTTTGTGAGAAACACGATGTTGCTGCCGGTCCTGGCTCTGAGATGTGGATTCCTCTGACTATGCAATTTAAAGAAATCCATATAAACAAAGGAGGAGCAGAAACATCAACATGGGACATTCTGGTTATTTCGCCATGCCAAAACAGGCTACAGAAGGCTCAATGTAACATATATATATATATATATATATATTTCAGTCATCCGTGTATTTATTTCCTCTATTTATTTACTTGTCTATCTTTGAATTTATTTTTCTACTTAAAAGGGAAAAACAACAGTCTTGTAAGTTACTCACATCTTTTCAAATCTTGAACATCTTGACAAATTCATCTTATTTCTTGAGAGCTCTGTTTTCTAAGTGAATAATTTATAGATCATATAATTCATTTGTGATGCACCAATGCTTTAAGCCGGCTGTCGGTTTGTTGAGACACTGATGCAGAAAACGCGCTTGCTCTGCAAAGAGTTTTGGTATCAGTTGTTTTGTCTCTGGGTGTTTGATATCCTCTTCTGTTTCCCTGAGACTTCAGCTAAAAAAGTCAGGGGCCTCCATAATGTCCTATGTGATCTTTGTGAATGTGTGTTACCCGAACAATACTCCTGTCCTGCATCACACGCCAGTCCCGACTTTCCAATTTGTTCGCTCAGTGCAAGCACCTCTACAAGTTAAACCTGCTCTCCATGTCGTCCAGTTAAATCTTGTTGTCCAATGTCCCGTGGTCAGCTGGATGCCTTCCGCCGTGTTTTGTCTGGACGTGACAATCTTCATTTTTCTATCTGTCAAGAAGGGCTTAGCCCATCACTATAGAAACAGGGGACATGAGCCCAGAGCTGACCTTGTGACTGGCGAGAGACAGGAGACTTAGCCAATAGCCAGAGATCAGGTTGCACAGAGGATGGCCTCATCAAGGATGTGTGTGACTCAGTGCTGTCACAGGCATCCTTCTCATCCCTGCTGGAAAAACACAACTGAGCTGAACTGGAGCATCACTCAACGCTGCTCTGTTTTCTTTTCATTGTTTTCTTTAATACTCTAAATCTGCGTGTGTCTGTGCGGGCATGCATGTGCGCGTGTATGAGTGTGTGTGTGTGTGTCTGTCTGTCTGTGAGCGTGCATGCAGATGAGTGTACTCAGTGAGAGTGGGCTGTACTCTGTGGCTGTCAGTTAAGTATAGATATTGGCTAAACTGTGGAAAATAGAGGGGGATTTAAAAAAAAAACACATACTTGCATTTAAAAATGCACAGGTATTAGCTAACAGTAAACCCCACCATGTACCTATATGAGAGAAATGATGGATGCATGAATGTAAATATTGATATTTAAATATCTGCCTTCTGGACTGTTAATTCATGTACAGTGTAACAGAACATATGTTTATACATAGTAAAAGTTTAAAAAAAATGTGCTACCACTTAGAATTATGTCAGTGTTGTCATGTTGATGGAGCAAGCCATTAATGTATATATGGCAATCAATAGAGCATACACAATTTATGCATTATACCAAACAGATAACGAAATGTGCATAAGTTGATTTCATTGCTGAGTTTTTCAGTTGTAAATAAAACTGTACATAACAACTGACCCACAGTATGTTGTGTTTAAAGAAATGCATGTGCAGTTATAAAACCACTGTTGTACGTGGGCAGACGAGCTGGCCCGTACGTGGTGAAGGTGATAAAAGTGAGACTGTTATATTTAGCCTGTGCCCATCTTGTCTGCTCTATGCTGTGCTGTGCCGTTCGCGTCTTTGGGCAGAGCCGTGCTGGCCTTGTCTCCTGGGCCCCCCACAGCGGAGGACATGTTCTCAGTCTGTCTCACACAGTGCATCTTTAATGAACTGCGATTACCAAGCGCACTCCTCTCCGTGGGGCTTAATGGCACCAGCCAGAAAACTTTTAGGTCACATATTGTGCGAGCTCTGGGCTCGATCAATAACAGTGTCACTAAAAAATCACGTCTGTGTGTGTGCATGTGTGTGTAAAAGATTTCTGCAGCTAGAGCAGGAACATGAGTTGATATAACAAAATGAGGTTTTTAGAGTAAGATAAAAGAGGGTAATGGATTCAAAACGCCTCTTACAGAGCCTGCATTCTTACACTAGGTCGCGCAGACATGTTCCTATTTCTGTTTTAATTTTCACACCAGACCGTGATGTGAAACAAACAAGAGAGCCTAAACCTGTGCTGTACAGGCTGATGTACAAGAGCGCTCAAGAGGAATGTTGATGAATTATAATGTGAATGAGGGTCCATCGAGTTCTCTGCCTTCCCTGCTTTGGATGTGCCACTTGACGGTAATGCAAATGGACACGCAGAGCAATTTAAACATTCATGCATTGTCCAGCCAGGGCGCTGTGGATTTCACTGTAATAAAACCAAAGTGACAGCACTAGGCGGGGTACTGGGAATTGTCACTGTCTCAACAAGTTTTTCGAGGCTTTCCTTACAGCAATAAGGTGCTGGAACACTGATTTAATTTTTTTCAAACATTTGTTTTTACCAGTGTGCTGCTGAGTTTTATCTGCTGCTTCTATACCTCTGCTCTTTAATCACGAGATGTCACCAGCGCACACACCTGGTGATGCATTGTGCTGGTGCATTGGTTGTGTGAGAGAGCTTGCACAGTCCTTTTTTTAAAGCTGACCTTCACAGTCTTTGAGGACCCACTCACACCCTCTCTGCCCGCCAGTCCTTTGGTCAGTGTTAATTACCCTCAGCACCTCCAGCTGCCTACTCATCAGGTCAGCGCTCCCATATGGTCCTGCAGGAGGCAGGCAGGCAGGCGGCAAGCAGGGGTGGGGAAAGTGCTGGATACCTGTGGGACACTGATTACATAAGCTGCTGCTAATGAGAAAGGTTCTTTCAGAAAGGGCTGCGAGTTCAAACGATCACAACGGTGGCAGTGGCTGACAGATGCAACCCCAGAGCAAGGGGGACTTGATTAAACGCACGCACACACGCAGGGACGCATGCGCACATACACACCTGTAGCTAACATCACTTTAATGCACACTCTCACACGTAGAGGCGCAGCAGGAAAGGACCTCTTTGATGAGCCATGGCTAGAGGTTGATGAGAAGGGGCACTGCAGCCTGATTCAGCTGGCTTGAGGTCACCGGGGAGTGTGTGCGCGTGTGTGTAAGTGCGTGTTCATTAGTCACATTGTGTGATATCATTATACTAGTGACTCATTTGGCAGACACCTCTCAACATGGGTCTTTCAATACCAGCTGCGACTAAAAAGTAAGATTTTAAAGAATTTATGTGCAGATCAAATGTGACTTATTTTGGTCCGATAAGCTAATTTTTCCTCGCAGAATACATCTATATCAGCAGATCGAATTCATGCTAAATCCTGATAATGAAATCCTTGCAGCAGAAAAGATCAAAACAAAGATTAATGTGCTGTTCGGTTTTCAGGGCCTGCTGTCATGTCATCTGTTATTCTCAGACAAGAGCTTCATGGTAATACAGTTAGACCTCACAAAAATCCTTAATCACAACAAACCACATTAGGCCAAAGGTAATTGTGTTTGCTTGGTATATGCATGGGCCTATCTGTTTCGCTGCTGCCAATGAAGGGAGGGCTGGAGTAGGAGGAGGCGGGGTGTCTTTCCACTTTGGGGGTGAGGGGGGAGCAAACCGAAATAGTCTTGTTTACCTCCAATGTCTGGCTCCACGTTATCGAGTTACAAAGCTGCTGCCGCAACTCGGATCGGCCTCTGATCGATCTGAGCTGTGATGGCAAAAGGCAGCATGACTGACAGCCTGACAAGGATCTTAGCTGGGAGCTGGGTAATGCATGTCATGTCGTTTTCCCGTAGACACCTGAGGTTTTTTTCGCTCAGAGGAGTAGCCAGCAGAGCTGATTTTATCTCTCCGCCGTCCACATTATGGTAAGCTGGGCATTTTCCCCATCAGTCAGGACATCAAAGGGCAGAAAATGTCATATTTGAATTTTTAAAGGCTCAGCAATTCATTTGAAATGTCAAAGCGTCTCGATGTTTAGAAAACTTGTACTTTTATTATTCGGCTTGCAACCAAGCAACTTAAAAAGTGATAGGTTATGAATGTCACAGAGTGAACATATCTATGATTAAACAAGCATTTGGTTTCAGGCCCTTGCTATTACTAACATGGGTCTGTGGAAATCCTCTACAGTCGTCTGACTCTTCAAATCTGTTAAAAGCAACAGATTGGGCACCGAACACAGTTCTTCTACACAGTCCAACTCCAGTGTTAGTACTTTAAAATAGCATAGATTTACTGTACATATACTAAAGGTTCTGAAAAATGATTCATTTCAAACGAATCCCACACAGCATCACTTTATATAAGAGTCCTTTTTTTTTTTTTAAAGTCACTTTCAGCCGGAGCAGATGCATGCAGGCCTAGGGACCCAGGTGAGGCAGAGCTGACCACAGAACAGGTCACATGGGGTAAAACTGTGAAGCAGCCTCAGACGACTGGATCTCCACCTGAGCCATCTTGAACTGAGTGCACTGCAGCCATTTGCGCAGGGCGAACGGAGGGGCTCCGGACATCTGGCCCTGCAGACACTGGTGGTTCACCCTATTCTGGATGGCCTGAAGACGCAACTGCAGCCCTGCAGACAGATGCTTACGACGAAAAGAAGAGAGGATGATAGTGTTTCAGTTTGAAATCATCAATAGTAATTATCATTAATCTGTATGATTAACACCTTTTAAAACCACTTACCTTAAGATTTGACTGAATCATGGGTAGCCACATAGGAATTAACTGAAAAAAGAAATGGAGATGAATAAATAAGCATTATTCTGCATGTTACAGAGAGAATATACAGCACTGTCTACATGGAAGGACTGGACTTATAGCAAACCTTGACAAAGATGGTTGAGTTGCATTCCTGCAGGGCCTCCATTAAACTAATGACATGAAGACACACCATCTCTACCATCTGAGAGACAAATATGAAATAGACTTAATTTTATGTAACATATTTACTGTTTACTCGTAATATTAAAAGAAGAAAATCACCATTCTTTCACAGCGACAGTCCTGACTGTCTCAGACAGATGTTTGCAAAGGATACTGCGCAGCACTTACAACTTTATTGTGGGCCATAAGCTGCAGGATGCTGGGTGTAACCCGACTCCAGAACTCGAGGCCCGTGAGGATGGCGCTGGAAGAAAACTCTGTCTGGTTCTGGTTCTGCAGGGAGGGAGCGGCGGCTGCCTGCTCGCAGTAGATGGTCCACAGCTGGGCGAACATGAAGGCGTGGAACAGGGAGCACATGTGCAGCACCGACGTCTGAGGATAAGGACCGAGACCAAAACTGACAAGGCCATTGTGGTTGCCACAAATCGCATCTGGAAAAATCTGAGTGTGATCATTTGAAGAGATTTGTGTCTGCCAGACCTTCGACTGTTCTGGGAAGCCAATCAGGATGACGATAAGATGGTCTGCAATGTGGGAGCCAGCGTCGAGAGGGATGGGCATGCAGGAGGTGGAGCCCTGGTGCAGGGCACAGTGCGTCAGGGAACCCAAAAGAAGCCAGGACAGCTGACGAATGTGGGACACGCACTCAATGAATTCTTTTGGACTAGAGAGAAAGAAAAAAAGGAAAATGAGTTCAACAAATCAATTAACAACACAGTGTGCAGATTCTTCTTTCACCATTCATTTTTCTTATTAAGTCAGTCAGTCTTATTCTCATCATTTTTACCCTTGTTGCATGGTTGATGGCGGATGATAAAGCCAGGGAAGATAACGCACAACAGCTTTGTTATCGCGGTGATTGCCTTTGCTGATCTCCATGGCTGCGACTTGTGCCAAGCCCACTTTCAGGTTGCCCCCAAAGGTGTCCTCGTGCAGTGGCTGACAACAAGCCTTCATATGGCTCTTAAGAGCAGATTTGGAGTGAAGAAAAGATAAGGATGAAAAACAAAACTCTCCACATGAGACATGTCCAAATTGTAAACTCACACACAGAAGACTTACTTTAAGTTTGGTTAGTGTGTGCATATCTGCAATAAAGTCCAAGAGCTCACTTATATATTGCCGCATGCATTCCATTGCTGCCGTCGTGCACTGTAGGGAGAAACAGCAGTTTATCCTTTAGGAGGAATCACAGTGGAGCCTATCTATATTTCCTGCTGTTTTATGAGCCTGATTTTAATAAGACAGTGTAGCACACAGCGATTTAAGTCTCACCCCCGGCAGCGTTGAGATCATGTGCTTTTGGATGATGGTGGATTCCGCTAGCCGTGTGCCGATATCTGCACAAACAAACTGGCAAAATCCACATGGAGTTATAGAATTGCAGTCAGATTGAATTGCTGTGATTTTCTGGCTCTCGTAAACCGAGATGGATAAGAGAGATTTTTATTTTTTTACCTGAACCAGAAGTAACAAGTTTGTGTCAGGCAGAGGAGACTTGAACTTGAGAGCCTGCAGGAGCTCTAACACCACAATGCGGGACATGTAGAACTTATCTCTCTCCTGGATGCGAGAAGATAGAGAGTGGAGTAAATGTACTGATGCAGCAAGACTGCCTTTTTCTATTATCACTCTGCCTTACTCATGCTGCGAGGAGAGCAT